GACTTCTTGATGGTTTTGATGTTAATTACCTTCTGTGATAATTGCCACTTCAGATGAGCGATTCCATTTTAGATAGCGTTAAAATCTCTAGAAACGTCTTTCTTTTGTTGAGCTTAAACCAGCCAGCAGTGGGTGATAAAGAGATTTGGGGAAATGGTTTTACTGGTGTGAAAGTTATTACAAGAGTCCAGAGATAGTACAGACCTGAACTGGGCCCTTGAGTGCTGCTTCGGAGTAGAGGATGGCCGAGCACGGGGGTTTCATCCAGGGAAGCGTGACTGCACTTGCAAACTGATTGGACCGGGGCAGGAGGAACGTGGCATCAACAGGAATAGGAAGAGATTTGGGAAAGATGGGTCGATTTTAAGGCAGTTATGAAATTCTTGGATGATTAAATCACTGGATTTGATCATGAGGTTTTCCTCTACTAACAGGTCAGACACTAGACTGCAAAGAAATATAGGCATTATGGGGGGGAAGAAAAGGGAAGAAAGGAGATGACTTTTGAGAAATTGTGTTTTAAAAGATAAAGGCAGGGATAAGAAGTATTAATTTTATTTTTGCTTTGATGTAATGGAAAACATTTTAACAGCGTTTTGAGTCAGAGAAGACTTCTTGAAGAATTGAGAGAAAGGATGCAAGAGTGGATGGAATAAGAAAATGGAATAAAATTACCAAGACACTTATTTTTTAGAAGAAGGAAGAATCCTGGAATCAGAGAGGCACATGGGGAGAGTGAAGGGGGAGAGAGAGTCTTTGAGAGGAAGGAAGTGGGGACTGAATTTGTCAGCAGTCATAGTCTCAGTAAGGCAAGAAGCAAGGATATGGACAACAGGGGCAGCAGGAAGTGTCCTTTGACATGAAGAGAGCAGAAAAATGTGTGTGTGGAATCTGTTTTAGGAAATATAGTAATTAATCACATAGAAATTAAAAAAATACTGAAAAAAGTAGACAAAGTCCCAAAGATGGCCAACTGTGTGCATCTATCCAGGCTAGTCTGTGAAAGATTCAATTTCTTTTGACATTATTCACTCTCTCCACTTGGTATAATTCAATGCCAGTTACATCATATATTTTATTTATGGGGTCTCTAGCCTGTGTTCTGCCTCTGTGTTTTATTAGAATAGAATGCCTCATATGTAGCTAGAATAAAATTTTAGAAGCAAAAGATTGTCTAATCCACCCCCCTGTTTTTCAGAGTAGAAAACTGATGTGTAAGTGGGTGGAGAGCCTTTATGGAGGTTGTGCTACTAGCTTGCAGCTGGCAAATATCCAAGTCAAGCCATTCTCTGCCTTCCCTATTACATTCTGAGAAACCATGGATTTTTAAGTTACAACAATCATCGTTAATTTTGAAACTATTGGGGAGATCTGAGCACAGAATACTATCAGTTGAACCAAGCACTAACCTCAGCAGTTCTTCACCACTTAATTAAGATATGAGATGCTCTTGTTTCTAAAATCCAAATTGCTAGGCAGGCTTTCCGGAGGTCTGCTCTGATGACACACACTGGCTGCTACTTCTATCTTTAATAGACTCGTTGCCTCTCCATGCACTTGTGCCCAAATTTAATTAACCACAGAAGAAAGTACAATCAACATTCAATCCTGAATGTCCTCAGACAGTAGTGGGAAGTCTGTGGTTATACGGCATGATAAATAAATACACAATAAGACAAAAAACAAAAAGCCTTGACTAATGTTAAAAGGACTTCTGATTCCTTTTACTTTGCTTCCATCCTGGGTTGTTTTTACCTGTCTTTTTCCATCTCCTTTTGCCTAGCACCGCAGTAGAAAAATAGTCCAATGCAATACAAGAGAGATTAGCTTAGGAGTCAAAAAACAGTCATTTGGTTGGCTCTGTCACTGATGACCAGACTTTAGATACTTCCTGGCCTCTCTTTTTCTTCTATAATAATTCTTGCTCTGCTCATCTTAGACTTCATTACATGGATAAACGGAAATAAATTAAAAAATCTTAAGCCCTCTGCAAAAGTACAATATAGGCATATATTGTACTTTCCTTCTATTTGCATTGATTGTATAAGAATGCTGAATCCTGGTAAGTGAAATCTCACGCAATGCCATATTGCAAAATATAATTGTAGACCTACTGGCTTAAATGAGTATTTTTTGGTGATGGAGTTTTTTGGCCATGTAGAGCAATTATATTCTAATTTTAGAACGATCCTTTGAGCACCTAAGTATCCGGTCTGTTCATTCCACAGTATTTACGGAGTACCTACTCTGTGCTAGGTTGTATAGCACTGTTTATTATAAGACCTATATTTTGCCTTAAAATCAAGAAAATTTATTTCACCACTGAAGAGCTGGGTAGTCTTGTTTACCATCTCTTTTAAAATCTAGAACTTGCCTATTTTATACCATTACCAATTAAGCCAGTGTTGATGAGGGGAAACTAACTGAAGCAGAGGAGGTTTGGCTGCCTTTATATTTATTTTTCCTGACAAACTTGGTACAAGAGAGGGTATTTAGAAAACTCTGTGATCAAAATTTTAAAAATTTACAGGCTGGATTTTTTTTAACATGTTCTTAGAACATTTCTGTCTCATTTTAATCCTAGGAAGATGATAGAAAATCAAACTTACCAGGAATCCTGGAATCTGACCTTTGGTAATTCTGTTAGCAATGCCCCCTACCCCAACCCGGCTCATGCAAGCAATTCAGGACGTCAGAAGTATGTCCAGACTAGAGAAGTTTAGTGGTGGAGCCCATCTGGTCGGATTTCAGCTTCTCTGAACCTCCCTCAAGTCCTGTAATAACCAGGGCAGGGAAAAAACAACAACAAAAATTCCATGTGACATACTTGTCATCAAATGTGTTTCAGAAGTCACTGTTGATGTTTTAACTCACAGCACACAGGATTAGTATTGTATAACATTTGTTCCCAGTAGCAGTTAGTGTTTTGGTTGGAACAGCCTCCTTCCCTCATTCTGACGTTTGTGACTTGGGAATGGGGGATTGGAGCCCAGAGAGCTGCTCTTACTAGAGAGAAGCAAGCCGATGAATGATTTCAAGCATTTCAGTGGTTTGTGACCAGTAAGATAGTGGGCTGAAAATACAAATGCATCTCTTCTCTGCACTTAATGCAACTGTAGCCCCTTGCTGACCTCACGGGCATGCAACGCATACAGTTTCATAGGTTTCACCACTTAAAAGGGCCCATGCTTGCTTTAATGCTCTATTGTCACTGTCTTAAAAGTCTTCATCCCTTTTGAATAAGGGACCCCATGTTTTTCATCTTGCAATGACCCCCATAAATTATGTGGCCAGTCCTGGCCCTTGTTTCCAGAGATTTTTGATAATTTTTTTTGTATCTAGAACTTGTACCTGACACTTAGGACACAATAAATGTTTTTAGCATGAGTAAACAAGACTTTTAAGTCTTTAAATAAAAGTAATTGACCTGAATCTTAATCCATTTAATTTTGCTGGGTTGAGGAGTCAGGGAAAGGTACTAAATTTTTGAGAGAAAATTTAAAACGTACAAAAAGAATCTAAAATAGTATAACAAACACATGTTTCTATCATGATACATGACAGCTATTTTCTTCTATTTACTTAGTTTATATATATATATATATATATTTATATATATATATTATATATTATATTATTATATTATATAATATATATTATATATATATATATATATATAAATATATATATTTTTTTTTTTTTAGCAGAAGTAATGGGAATTGAATCTAGGACCTCATGCATGCTAAGCATGCCCTGTACAACTGAGCTATAGCCTCTCCCCTCTGTTTACTTAAAATGTTTGTTTAAGAATAAAAAAAACAGATCAGGTTTATCTGTTGGCCCCACCTCTAGTCTCATTCAGCTTCCTACTTGCCCATCGGGAGCCAAACCACGACCGTGTTTGTCATCGCTTTCCACTGCTAGGAGTAATCCATGGTAACGTACTTGGTCTGAGTGTTTTAATATTTGTGTAAATGGTATGAAACTACATGTATCCTTTTGTCATTTGCTATTTTCCTTCAAAATTTTGCTTGTGAAATCTATCCATATTGCTACATGTAGCTCTAGTTTAATCATTCTCATTACCCTGTACAGTAGCAATGCAACCCCTTTTCCTGACTTGCTGCCCCATCAGTGGGCTGTTTAGAACAGAGCCAGAGGAGTCATCTTCTATTCTGGTTCTGCTGCTGCTGTTGGTGAAATCACCAGCTGGGTGATGCTGGGCAAGCTAAGTGATGTTTCTGATACTCTTGTTTTCACATTTGTAAATTGGGACACACAATTTCTACCAGTCAAGGTGTTTTTGTGGCAAATAAATGAGAAAATATATTGAAGACCTACCATGTGATAAAGGTGCAAAAAAGTAGTGGTGAGGATTATCATTACTTTGCTGTGTGTACGTCTGAATGTTATAAAGCCCTAAGCACATGTGTAGCAGTGATCTTGAGTTTACATTATTTGATTTTTCTCTTTGTACCCTTAGCTTGGCTATTGGTCTTGATCCTTTTTTTTAATAATAAGGAAATGTCACCCTTGAAGTGCTGTCCTGGATGTGTCTTAGAGTCTATGCTTCTCCTTTTACAAGTACCTCTAACACACCTTCCATGGAGTTAAAAGGCTTAAACTCATACACTCATGAAACTATAATGTTAACTAGTTATAAAAATATGCCTGTGTTCTTCTCTATGCATAACAGAAAAAAACAAACATCTACTGTTTTCCAACCTTCATTTTGCAAAGTAGCAAATAATAGAACTGAGAGATCTGGAGTTTTGTCTGACTGTGACTATGCTGTATCTGGTCCCTAACTTGCTATGAGAAATTAAAAACTTAAGAACACACTGAGCAATTTTTTTCATATTCTTTGCAAATTTTAAAAAATCTAAACAGAAGCCAATATTAAATCTTCAGAGTAGATGGGAGTCTGTGATGTGTGAAGAAATTTGAAGTAGATTCTGAATCTCCTTGTGGTTTCATAGCATATTTTGGTTATTCAACAGATTTTATACAATCCGCTATAGAGAAAAGGATAAGGAAAAGAAATGGATTTTTCAGCTCTGTCCAGCCACTGAAACAATCGTGGAAAATCTAAAGCCTGACACGGTTTATGAATTTGGAGTGAAAGACAATGTAGAAGGTGGAATTTGGAGTAAGATTTTTAATCACAAGACTATTGTTGGAAGTAAGTATCTAGAATTATTTGAGTGAGCTTTCTGTAATTTTCCCCCTAATTTCCAAATTTTTAATTATTTCATTAGCTGTATACTATGATATGAGTTAATTCCCATCAGGTATATTTGAGAAAATATAATGAACAGAATTGGAACATTGGTATTTCAGAATCTTTTTTTATAGTGAGCGGGTTTTTAAAAAAAGAATAAATGATAAGCTAGTACTTCACAAGAACAAATCATTGAACAGTTTATTGACATTGTCATATTTTAAATCAGTCTCAGACCTGTGAACACTAACTGAGCCAAAAAACCCTCCTGTGTGCAAATGTCCAGTTAGAAAGCTGGGCCAGTGGAAATGAACACGCAGAGCTTGGGGGCCCGGCTTTCATCCTGTGTGTCTTCTTCCGATCACTGGGATCAGTGTTTGAAATGACAGCAAATAAAATACTAGGCTCAAGTTAGAGCAGGAGTCGTAGTTGTCTTCAGAACGATTAGGAAGGCCTGATTTAGGAGTAAGAAGAATGAAAAGCATGTCATTCTCCTCTTGTTTTTGTCAGGTAAAAGCAAAGTAAATGGGAAAATCCAGAGCACCTACGACCAGGTCCACACGGTGGTATGTACCAGCTTACTTTCAAGAACATTTAAAAAAAGTTGTGTCTGCGTTGTACTTTTTATTTGAATAAGGAAATAGTCCTATGATGAGGTATTGAAACTGAGTTAACTGCCTAGCTGTAGGGTGCTGGGTCAAGTACACTGTTTCAGGAATTAGTTTCTTTTTCAGAAAATGGAGGTGGAAGTATGAGACCAGATCATCTCTAATTTGTTCAAAGTTCTAAAATTCTGATGTTCAGTCTAGCTAGCTGTCCGGTTTTTCGGGATTCCAGGTATTTTGAGGTTATGCTTACTATCTCCTGTTCTGTGGGATGTTTTTTTACTATAACATGTTTCGAGAGCGAACTAGTACATGCTCTCCTTAAACTGTGATTGTTCAAATCTTTCCTCTATTTTCTATCATTTCCTACTTACAAGCAGCTCGTTTGGTTTTGTAATATGCCCAGTCTCTATTCGGTGCAGTAAAGGTTTGTATATTTCACGTGCCAGTCTAGAACCCTTTCCCCTGTCTAGAACCCTCTTCTCTCTCACCCCAGAAACTCAGCCCCCGTTCTCCTCTTTCCCTCCGCTTTTCACAGCCTGTTCTCAGGACACATCGTATCAGTTACATACTGCCTGTTACAAAAGTAAGCCATTGTCATAATCATCACAGATATGTTTGCCTTTTAAATCACATGCCTAATTATAAAGTGAAGGATATTATGTCACTGAGCGGGTAGAGGAGGCACTTTGGTGAGAAAACGGGAATTTGATGCTGTCTTTGGTCCCTGCGAATTGGGAGTATCTGGCCAGGGAACAGGCACACGAACAGGCAAAGACTCTACTCATGATTACAGATTTGCTCTATTCAATGTGTATGTGATGTATGTGGATGGATAGCTTTTTATGCCTAATTAAATAGTACACAGAATAACCCACTGCTCATGCAGCCGAGTTGTGGAAAAAGTTAGTACATACCTCACTGAATCTTAAAAAAATGCAAAATTTTCTCAGTGAGAGAAAATGGGTTTGGATAAAATAGAGCTGAGAATTATTCCTGATATGGCAAGTGTTTCTTGGGTTTGACTTGGCAGAAAAGTGTGTACGTTGGAAAATTATTAACAAATCATGATTATTAGATTATTAGGATTGCCCAGGAAAGTATTTTGACATATTTCAAATCATAACATAAGGAAGGAGATTGTAGATAAATTCCCAGGCCTGGACCAATTCATTCATTTTTCTTCCTTCCTTCCTCTCTTTCCCTCTCTCAGTTTGATTATTTTCCTAATTATCTGATATTTGAAGATTTATAATATATAAAATGCAAAAAGAAATATTAACAAAATTACCTGTAACACTGCCAAATAAAGACCTGTATAAAACCATTTATGGTCTATTGTTAAAACTTTAGAACGTTGGCTTTTTTTTTTTCCAAGCATGTTTTCATTATAAAATTAGAATCTCATGCTATGGCATATATATATGTGTGTGTGTGTGTGTACGCAATTTTATCTCACTGCTTTCACTTAGCCAAAATATGGCATAGCATGTGTCATGTCATTAAATGCTCTTCATATACATAATTTCAAGTGCTATGTATTACAAAATCTAAATACACTTGAGCTGCTCGATTTCCAATTTGTAGACATTTATTTCTAATAGTTTAATTGTAAGTGATGTTATGGTGAACATTTATGATCATAAATTTCTGTTCACATTTCTGATTGTTTCCTTAAAATAGATACTTAGAATGTCATCAGTTAGTAATGGTAGCAGTTTAGATTTTTAACATTTTTTAAACTTCCTAATATGTTTGGTCAAATTTCTTTCCAAAAAGGTTTTTATCAATTTACAGTCTTGCCAGCAGTGTATCAGAGTATTCTTGCTCTAGTACCCTAATCACAGCATTACATGTTTCTATCACTAAATTTTCGGCTAATGCAATCGTGTAAAATGGTTTTTAAGTTCTGTTTCTGATTGCTGACAAAGCAGCACTTTACTTATTTATTAGCCATCTGTATTTTCCATTTAATGACTTTAGTTTCACTTCTTTGTTTATTGGGTGTCTCATGTTTTTTTTTTTAATTGAATAGTTAGAAGACATTACAAAGAACATAGACTCTTTGTGATCTCATCTAGAAACATTCTCACATTTGTTATCAATTTCATTTATGGGAATTTTTGAAATAGGCAAGTCTTACTTTGCTTAATCAAATTACTTGTCTTTTCTGTTGGCATATCTTCAGTTGCCTTATATTTTAGAAAGCCCTTCCCTATCCAGAGATCAGATAAATATTTCCCCCTTTTTTTTTAGTTTTATAAGTGGTTTGATTTTGTAATAAACTCAAAAATATGTGGATTTTATTTTGCTGTATTACACTTAGTAAGGTTCTATATTGACGAGGTTATATATTTTTTCCAAATAATGAACCAGTTGGCTTAGCACCAAGTATTCAGTTGTGCCATTCTCTAAGGTCCTTTTGGCTTTGTCTCTCTTAAATCCAATCACAGGGAATAGAGTTGTTCTTCCAGTCTCTTCTAGAACAATCCTCACTGTTGTTGTGAATGGTTGCCTAGGAAGCATATCTTATCTCCCACCCTCTTGGCTCTCATGCTTTGTCTTACATGTGACTCGGTGATGTCATTTCTTTCATTCCGTCTTTTCAGCAGTCATATCCCAATATGGGTATTTCTTTTGGCAGAATATTTCATTTAGGATGAGTTACTCAGCAGGATTGGGAAAGATGATTGACGTTTTACTCCCAAGAAATTTAATATCCTTTCCACATCGTAAATAGCCATGACAAGAAGGTCCAGGAAGAAACTTCCTGCATCGATGACACAGAGCCAGACGTTTTATCACTTCAAGCTGTGAGGCGGAGTACCCCCAACTCCAGCCAGCTCTCATGAGCTGTGGTCTGAAACTCTTGGTTATTTCCAAAGGAAAACCCGAATTAATTGAAAAGATATTTTAAGGTTTCTCTGTGAGGCTTTCTTTTTACCTTCTGGACAGCAGGAAACATGTCTCCCAAACTGCCTTCTGTGCTCTTAGGTAACTCTGGAACATGGGAAAGTTGAAAAGGGAACCACTTGTCAGAGTCTTTGACCATCTTACAC